TTCCACAACATTATTTTCTGTTGGACTAATTTTACATCCTAAAACTCCATCTGTTTCTGTATCATAATGTTGTACAATTTCATTTCTATTAAATGTCCATAAATCAAGTCCTTCACTTGTTCCTGTACAAAAATCTTCTGTTCCTCTTCTTGTATCAATACATGAAAATGGTAATTCATGATTATATGTCATTAATGGTGCATTTACTTTTGCTGGTTTACTATCTTCTTCTGTAGAAATTGATAATGGCCATAATTTACATGTATGGTCTGTTGAACATGTAACAATATATGGTATTTTTGTTGTAGAAACACTAATTCCTTTACAAACAGTATCATGTGCTTGAATATTATACAAACACTGTTTTGTTCCAACATTCCATACCCTTACTTCTCCATCATATCCTCCACTTGCCATATATGATATTTCATTTCCTGTTCGAGTTATACATGTTACTCCATCTGGATGTCCTGCTAAATTCCCTATAAATGGTTTAGCAAATATTTTATCTAATTTTGTTGCATTTAATGCTCGTTTATATTCTCGTGCTTGTGCAAATGGATGATCTTCTTCTTTCATTGAACGTTGAACACGTGCTAAGTCATTTGGTAATTCTTTGTATTCTGTAAGAACGTCTCGTGTAATTATTTTAAATTTCGTGGGATCAAAGCCTTGTGGTTCTGTCATTTGTTTTCTCTCTTTCTCTTGAAACCCTTTTTCTTTTTTATTCATTATATTTATTTTTCTTTACTCAATTTCAATAATTATTGTTTCTTATTTTTATTTCTTATTTTTATATTCCCATTTATCAATTTCTTTATTCAATTCGATTTTCTTCTTTCTAATCTTTATTCTTATTGTTCTCTTCTTATGTTTCTTATTGGTCATGACTTATATCCATGTTACAAACCATCATTTAAGATTCCAACTCCAAACAAACATGTATTATGAAAGTTCAATGAATATTTTAACAAACTATTGACTAGTTGTTGTGTGTTTAGTATAACAGATTCTTATAGTCAATCTTGTTTTGACAGGTGATTATTCAGATGAACTCAAATCCAAAGAGAATATAAATATGAATAAATAATAAATAAAAGTACTTTTGATTATAATTTATGAAGAATTTGTTGATGAATTAGATAACAATGAAATTAATTGTTATGATAAAAAAGAAACAAGAAAGAGAAAATTGATGATTAAAAGCTAGTGAATGAGATAACACTATTAAAGATATGAGTAAAATAGAACTTAGTATTACTTCAGTTTATTCAGATGAAACAAATATTAATTTCATCAACACCAATAAATTTTTATATTGTAATTAAACTCTTTACTACTTCATTTCACTTTAATCATTCACAAAAACTAGTAGCTATTCACAAACTCTTTTAATAGTTTTATTGATAACTTAACACTTATTGTTAATAAATAAATTGAGCAATTTCTCATACTAATTTTTATAAATCAAACAAATAATCAAAAGGAATTTCTTTTAAATAAAATGAATGTATTATATGTCGTTGTTAGCATATGTTT